GTAGAAACATTCATCTATCTATCTATCTGGATATATATATATATATATATATATATGTATCTATATATATATATGTATGTAGAAACATTCATCATATATCTATATATATATATATATATGTATGTAGAAATATCTATCTATCTATCTATCTATCTATATATATATGTATGTAGAAATATCTATCTATCTATATATATATGTAGAAATATTCTATCTATATATATATATATATATATATATGTATGTAGAAATATTCACATTTATTCATATATATATATATATATATATATATGTATGAAAAATCATCTATCTATCTATCTATCTATATATATATATATATGTATGTAGAAATATATATGTATGTAGAAATATCTATCTATCTATCTATATATATATATATATATATATATATATGTATGTAGAAATATCTTAGGAAATCTATCTATATATATATATATATATATATATATATGTATGTAGAAATATATATGTATGTAGAAAATATCTATTCATCTATCTATCTATATATATATATATATATATATATATATATATATATAGAAATATCTATCTATCTATCTCTCTATATATATATGTATGAAATATATGTATGTAGAAATATCTATCTATCTGTCTATCTATATAAATATATAGATATATGTATGTAGAAATATAGATATAGATATATGTATGTAGAAATATATATATAGATATATGTATGTAGAAATATAGAGAGATATATGTAGATATATGTATGTAGAAATATATATATATAGAGAGAGAGAGATAGATATGTAGAAATATATATGTGTGTGTGTAGAAATAGACATATATATATTTATATACAATGAATATATATATAAATATAAATATATGTCTGTGTAACTATACATATATATGTATGAAAATATATAGCTACATGCACATGTAAATATACATATATTTTATATATAATATATATATATATATATATATATATATATATATATATATATATATGTATACATCTATATGTGTGTATACATTTATGCATTATGTTGTTATGAATATATACCCATGTATATTCATACATATTTATTTTTGAATACATATATTCCTATATGTGTGTGTGTGTGTATGAATGAATGTATCTATAATATGAAACTGCTTTTTATTTGAATGCTTTTCTTGCTCATCTCCAAATCATAAAAATAAAATAAATAAACCTTAAAGTGCCAACTTTTAAATTTTTTTTTTAAATCTGTGAAATTATAATAAAATATAATTAAAATATGTATTTAGAAGCAAAGTTATATTTGATTTTCGTTATTTCGTCAGAAACTTTTTTTTATTACTCCTTTCTTCTTGAACAAACATATATCTGATTATTTTTTAAATTATTTTAATTTTGCCGCCACATTTTTCCTTCTTTTTTTTCACACATTTACTTATTTTTAACTTAGTGCTAATCCTATAACTATCTTATAAAACTATTAAAGTTTTATATTACTGTGCACTCCTTATTCGCCCATCAAAACGTATTTACTTTCGTTCCTACTTTTTTTTTTTAGTTTTAAATTCACAACCAGTGTCCGTTACAAAAATCGCGGTTTATTATCGAAAAGAAAACCATTTCTTTCCTTTTTTTTTTTCGCTAACATTCATTAAATAAAATATTGGAAATTTCTTTTAAACTTTTAGTTTTATTTAACACTGTCATATTTCACTTTTAATTTGATGTTTTATTTCTTAGCTTAATAAACGAGCTGACACTCTCTTCTTAAACCAGGGATTAGTTTTACATAGTAGTTGGGTAAAAAGTCTACATCACGAAGCTGTATAAGTTTTGGTAGGTTTTCCGCGTGTGTTAAACTAGGGTTTTTCACTCACACAAGAAGAGTAAAAGCAAAACTAGACAGGGATAATTTTTTCAGAGAGCTAAGAAAAGAAAGTTCATCTTGAAAAAGAGTGAGAAAAATTGTGTACAGTATCTTTTTTTTTTCTCTTGTACGTTTCGTGATGTACAAAAATGCATCCCTGATTAGACCCAGCATCACGTTTTTACTCGATATCACTGAGTTCTACCTACAAGAAGACTCTCATGTAGTTTACTAATCTTTTCCTTCCTTTTTTTTGTGATAACCCCTGATTTTTTTTCTTCTTCTTTTCTCACCTCTTTCGATTGCATATTTAAACTTGTTTTGTTTTATTTTTCGTTTTTGCAGGTTGCTTTCCCTCCATGAATGAAGAAGACGAGACAGAAAGGAACAGTGTTTGAACAAAGCATTTTATTTCAATAAGTCCGGCAAGAGAAGGAAGAAGAGGAAATAATGAACCTGTGAAACAAATAAAGAGACGAGATGAGCTTTACTTGCGAGAAAATCTTATTAGAGAAAGCAAGAACAATTCATTTCAACTGCTAGTGAGGTGGGCGGAGTCAGGCGCACCAGGGGCAAGACCGTCCATAGTTTTTGATTGACAGCTGACGTCACTTGTCCGGATAATTGGTAGCTCTGACGACAAGTGCTTCTTTCTTCCTTCTTTCTTTCCTTTATTTCTTTCTTTTTTTTCTATGTATACCCTTCCATCCTCTCTTTAACAGGAACACCCTCCTCACCCTTTGTAATATACGAAATCCAGATTCAACATCCGGGACACTCGTGGCTTTATTTTTAAAATTTTTTTTTTCTTTTAACTTTTATTTTTGAAAGTTTTGTACTTTTTTTTTTAAGTCTCCTCCCCAAGGGTGAACAGTTGCTCCACCTAGCTTGCAGCCATCGTGTTAGACCCGCCCCTGTGGCTTCTCGTCTATCCCGTCATCGTCACAATGTTCACCGTCTTTCCAACTCTTGTTTGTGTCAAGTCTTCGTGATATTATTAGAGAGAGACCATCACAACACTTTTTTTCCAAGTGGACCTTCCATCTACGCCAGGAATATATTAATGTCACGGCTAAAATTCCCCTATCCCATCCCGATAGAAAATATTTAAATTTACCTGAAGGAGAAAAATAATCTTTTTTTTTTTTGTTGTTGTTTTTTAAAGAAATTCTTTTCTGGTGGGGGGGGAAATACTTTTGATTTTTTTTTTTTTTTTCTAACCACTACAATCATTTTATTCGTGGAAGTAAAACCAGCAAAGGAAACGCGCACACATACACACACACACACACGCGCGCACCTCCTGCTTGTCTCGTTCAATATCACTCTCTCTCTCACACAGACACGCATTTTACATACCCCCCTTTCCTTGTATTTATTGCTACTAATTCAGTCTTGACGACTACTGCTATAAGCACGGCGACTAGGGCCACTGCTGATGGATCCTATTTTTCAAACTGACTGCTACCTTTACAGCTGCTTCTATTTCTTGAGGTTTTTACTAGTCGCACGTACATAGGCCAGTCCAAGTCTTAGACATGTTAGCTTTACCCAAACCTCGTTCAGAGCCGGGTCTCATGACGAATATGGAAATCCATCCACATCCGAAGTAAGTAAATTGCTTCGCCTCGGACAAACATCGTAAAGAGAGAGAGAGAGAGAAAAGAACGTTTCCTTTCTTTCTCGGAGATCGTTCTGTTTAGTTTACTTAACTATTCACAGTGGATTTACCAAGAAAACAGCGGTCTTCACTCCTTCATCTTCCACTTGCAACCACGGCACTAACATCGGCAGTACACACCACGGACGGGGTGTCCTGTCTGTGGAACCCCCTTCCGAATTAAAGTATCCGCTTAAATGTTCACAGATGACCGACAATCGACTACACAGTCTCACGACTTTTATTTCTATCTACGACGGCCAGAACAACAACAACAACAACAACAACAAGGCTACTTCCTTCTTCATCATTATCTACATCATCGTCGTCGTCTTTATCAGGAAGACGGGCTTCGGTAGCTAAATCCTTCGTCTATCCTCTGAGATCTAGGATTCTTAACAACCGTGGCTGGTATTCCTTCTTCAGTAACAATATCTACGAATGTCCACTTCTATATTTTAAGCTCTCTTGGAATACAAGCAAGAAGTGATTATATTTTACTGGCGAAGAAATCGGCAGTGGTGATTTATTGAAGAGAATCCTAGCAGTCGTAGCTGCTGCTGCTGCTGCTCACACAGGAGCACCATTAATAATAATAATAATAATAATAATATTGCCGTTTTTTTTCTTCCCTTACCTAAAAGCAACTACCGCCACTACAATTTTGCCAGGTATTTGTATCATTGTATTATTTCTATTGTTACTTTTGATACGAAACGAGTGTGGGGGCTTGAATAGAAACCAACAACCGGCCATCATATCGTCTACCTCGCCAGCTCTTACACCAAACATAGCATAAACGGAAACCTATCAGCGATTTCTATATTCTCTTGAAAAAAAAAAGTCACTTCGTTTGTGTCAATCTCTTTCTTAAATTGTGATTTACAAAAAAAAAACAAATTATCTATATATTTTATTTTGATAGAGAGAGGAAAAAACGAGATGTGTACGTACTACCAACACTGCTTTTTGATTGTCTACTTAGGACCGATTTAATTTACGTGGGTATATTTGTCTAAGTCTCCCCCACCTCCCGATATATATATATATACACACACACACACACACACACTTCTTGAATGTTGAAGGGGCTGACGCATAGCCACCCCTAACACAAACATACACACACACAATTCTTGAGAGAAATATGAAAAAGAAAGCTGAGGTCACTCGGTAAAAAGCTATAAAAAAAATTGGACAAGCCGAGTCAAGCTGAAATATAAAACATACAAGCATTCAAAACGAAGGACGAAGCCCGTGTTAAAATATTCTATTGCACAAAACAGGTGGCCCCATTTTTAACCATCCACCTATTCGACCACTCAACCATGGAGGTGGTCGCATCAAAACAATCACTGGTCATTATTTTTTACTGTATAGCACTTCTGTTGTGTTTTGTTACAAGCGAAGAGGAAGACAAGCGGACATGTGAAGAAATAACCGTACCAATGTGTAGGGGAATCGGTTATAATATGACGCATATGCCCAACCAGTTCAACCAGGACACTCAAGAAGAGGCTGGACTAGAGGTACACCAATTTTGGCCACTGGTCAAAATTCAGTGTTCCCCTGACCTGAAATTTTTCTTATGCAGTCTCTACCTTCCTATATGTATGACAAATTATAAAAAACCGTTACCCCCCTGTCGATCAGTATGTGAAAGGGCTAAAGCTGGTTGTGCACCTATCATGCTGACCTATTCATTCGACTGGCCAGAACGGATGAAATGTGAAGAATTACCTGAATACGGGACTGATCAGCTGTGTATGGACATGAACACTACTGAACGGCCCTCACCCCCTTCGAAGCCTCACTATACGCTACCCACAGATCGTTCCTACAACCCGTTCGGAGATTCTAAGCCCTGGCGCTTTAATAAACAAAACAATCACTATTACAACTCTAAAAACTTGAACGATTTAAGCAAATCGTCAGGAAGGGATGATTGTTCCTGCCGTTGCCGGTCACCCCTCTTGCAAATCGACGATCAAGCTCACGGTCACTACAATCGTATATCAACGGGGAAAATGAAAAATTGTGCTGTCAATTGTTATGGACCTTATTTTGGTCATAACGAACAAACATTTGCTAACTTTTGGATCGGTCTCTGGTCAATTCTTTGTTGTATATCTACAGCTACCACTGTAAGCACTTTCTTTATCGACATGCAAAGGTTTCGTTATCCGGAGCGACCGATTATTTTCTTAAGTGCTTGTTATTTTATGGTCAGTATTGGTTACATCATTCGACTGATCGTCGGACATGAAGGGGTCGCCTGTAATAAAGGTATGATTCGGTATAATACGACAGGACCGGCCACGTGTACAGTTGTTTTTCTGCTCATCTATTTCTTTGGAATGGCCTCCTCTATCTGGTGGGTGGTCCTCTCTTTTACCTGGTTCTTAGCAGCCGGTTTGAAATGGGCTGAAGAGGCCATCGCCAGTTATTCACAGTATTTTCACCTTGCTGCTTGGCTGATTCCATCTGTGAAAAGCATCGCCGTTCTAGCCATGTCCTCCGTCGATGGCGACCCGGTTGGGGGGATATGTTATGTTGGCAACCAGAACTTGGAAAACCTTCGAGGTTTCGTTTTGGCCCCGCTCTTTGTTTACCTCGTGTTGGGGACGTCGTTTTTGTTCGGGGGATTCGTTTCGTTGTTTCGGATTCGGAACGCCATCAAGCGACAGGGCCGTGCTAAAACAGAAAAATTGGAAAAACTCATGATTCGCATTGGAGTTTTCTCTTTCTTATACACGGTCCCAGCAACTATTGTTATAAGTATATATTTTTATGAGCAACACATGCGATCATCGTGGGAAACCAGTTTTATATGCCGGTGTGGACCACCCCATTATAAACCCGATTTTTCCGTGTTTATGCTCAAATATTTTATGTGTTTGGTTGTCGGAATTACATCCGGCTTCTGGATATGGACAGGAAAAACCTTAGATTCTTGGAAAAGGTTTTACAGCAAAGTTTGCCAAAGTCGCGCCTACAGTACGTCCAATCGTATAAATAAATACACAAATCCTTCCTATCAAATGACTAAACCACAGCCTCTTGATCATGTTTGAAACTGGGTCTGTTTTTATCCTAATACGCAAATACGTCACAAACAACAGTCTAAGAAAAAATGTATATTATCAAATAAATAAAAAAAAATCTACCAGGTGAACTGGAAAGAATTGATAATGACATTTTATATGGAGAGAACTATTTTTCTTATCACTTAACATTTAAAATTTTCTCTCTTAGTGATTACACGGAGACAAGGAACAATCGTGTTTAAAGAGAAAACAAAAAAGAAAAAGAAAAAAATTAACCATGTGGATTTACTCAATGTGGATAAATTGTTTGGGGGAAAATCTTTCCCCATCCCAGAAAAGACAGTGGATAAAAGTCCAAACGAGATGAGAAAGTTCTCTGAGGTGATTTTACAAAATTTCTTTATCTAACTTTAAGTCATTTGACCGGCTCCCGGCAGGTCAACCTTTTGAAACTGTCCAAATGTATTAAAATCGGTTGTGAGGAGAGTGCTTGTTATTTTAAGGACATTCAAAACAGGTGTGTATTATTGTGTGAATGTTTCATTTTCCTCTTGTATATTTACAGTTTACACACTATATATATATATATATATATATATATATATATAATATATAAAGAAAGTGTAAAGGTTTGAGCAAGTGAGAGGTAAATGAGTGAGCATCTATGCTTTATGTAACCCCCACCCTCTGTGTATATGAATGAGTATGTGTACATTTCGTCTAAACTTAAAAATGGTCAGTCTTTTTCTGTAGATAAACTGGTCCGTCTTTTTCTAGATAAAAAAAGTTCCTTGTTCAGTTTAGGCATACGAAATGGATTCTTAGTGTTCATTTGTTTTCCATTATTTTCCTTCCCCCTCCTACGCTTCAGTGGGAAAATAACACACACACACACACAGTTTGCTGCTGTAGGTATTTCTGTCATACCTATAAAATTTAAACCTGTCTTTTTTATCATGTCCTTTAGACGTAAAGAATTTTAAGCTAATTACCTCAAAATGTCAATAACCACATACCTTAACTAACAAATATAAAATGTTATTTTAGGATTTACCTCCCCGTTAGTGTGTGGTTTTAAAACCTTTTCACATTATAAATATATCATATAGTTAACTTAATTTACTATAAGCGTAGCTTAGATGTGGCACAAGGCAGAAATTATGGAGCACCTAGTGAGGATCGAACTCGCTACTCCGTCATAATTTATAATGAGACGAGCTTCCGCCACGTCGAAGTGTACCCTAATTTATTGTTTTCAGTTTTCTAAGCTTTCTACGTTTAAGTTAAAAGTGCGAAAAAAAGCAAAATGCTTTTTTAAAAAATTGAACCAAAAAGCCAATATTTAAATTTAAAAAAACGAATTTTAAGTGAAAATTAAGATATGCAAAAAAAATAGGTTTCATTTTCACATGAAACAGATAAAAAAATCTAACTTGTCCAAATATTAACCAGAATCTTTTTGCTTTCTTCGGTTCTTCTACTTGACTCATCATGAAAATTTCACTTGCCACTTGCTAACTATTTTGTGAGGTGTTCAATTACCCCACATGACTAAAGGAGGGTTAAGAAGAACATCTCTAGAGAGAGAGAGAGAACTTCCGGTACTGTAGGTGTAAAGCTATTCACTTTAAAAATATTCAAATAATTTTTAAAGAAATTGTTGTGGATTAAAAAACAAAAAAAACAAACAAACTTTGAAGTAAAAAAAAATAATGTTTTAATTTAACATAAAAATACTTAAAAAAAATATCTACCTGGTATTCGTTGTCTCAGGGTCACTAAAAATCAGTTTCTCCACCTTTTAGATGGTGGATGACAATAGCCATTAGCGAATCACAGAACGTAGTCTGCTGGTGTTCAGTTCATGCACACACTATAGCCAAAGATACAGGCATGAATCTAATTCTCCCTCTCTCAGGTGTCTGAATAAAGGTCTTGACACAGTCATGCCACAGTACTTGGAAAAGTGAGCTAAATTAGGTCAGTTTCTTCACCAACTATGCACCACGTCAGAGGACAGCTAGAGAAGAGATGGTCACCGCCATAAAATGATTCTTCTGAGATAAACAAATGGTAAATAAATGAAAATAAAAAAGGTCAAGTATGCGACCTCAGTGACCTCTAGGTTAAATGACAAATTTGCATACGACAAAATCCAGTTCAGAAAAATAAAGCTTAGAGAATCATTCTCAATTTGGGTGATAGGAGAAAAAAAATTAAGATTCCTTAACTTTGAGATTTTCTAGGAGCTTCGGCTTGTTAGAATAAATATTGACGGATTTAGTACTGAAGAGAAAAAACTAGAGACCATCTGCAATGTAGGTATCTTTAGTATACGAAATGTACACATAGTCAACAAATATGCGTGTGTCTGTAAAAATGTGTTTGATTTAAAAGATTTAATTAGCAGGCAAGATTTTCATTATTTGAGGCAAATGAAAATTATATAAGTTATTTTTATTTTATTTTTTAAAATTTTAATATTAAGGATCCTTTTTTTTTTTTTTAATAAATTTGTCTCAGTAATTGTATGTATGTATGTATGTATGTATGTACAAGGCCAAGGGGTAGTTTTTTTGTTTTCTTTTTCTATCATTCCACCCCAAGCAAGGCGATAATGCCACTAAGACGCAAGGGGGTTACTGGGAGTGAAAGAAAATGAGAAGACTAAGAAAAGAAACCGGAAACCCAACCCTAAAACAGGAAACAAGTGATAAACATCTACTACTCCTGTTCAAAAGACGGGGAAGGAGTGTGAACCGGGCGATAAGCGAACCTATCTACTGCTATTGTTGAAAAGTTCTCAGCCCAATAAATTTTCTAAAATAAAATCAGTATTTCAATGACGAAACACCAGAACACTGATTTTTTTTTCTTAATAAATAATTTGATTTGGGCCGATAAATTTTCAGCACCTTCTCGTATGTATATATATTATATAAAGTATTTCATATACATATATAATATATATTTGTGTGTTTGTGTAAAACAAAAAAAGAAAGAAAGAAAATACACACGTTAAATACGGTGTGGTTGTATCAAGAAAGAAGTGTGTGCATGGAGTTGTGGATTGAGGTATGTTCTCAGGTCAGTCCAGCAAAGGTAACCAGGGTACAAAAAGGGTGGCCATTTGGCTATAGAAATGTTTCTAACCCTAACCAGTCCTTATACAAGAAAAAAAAAAAAAAAACAGTGCTGATTCCCAGAAAATTGGCTATAAAAAACAGACATTGTTCACTACAAAGATGTATAAGGGCAAAAATATCAAAGCCAAAAACAAAAACAAAAAAAACACATAATCTAGGTTCTGTGATAACAAATATATATATATATGTATATATGTGTATGTATATGCATTCAAATGGATATATATATATATATATGTATATATATATATACATATATATATACACAAACATTTATTATATACCAACATATATATGTATATATGTACATAATATATGATAATAATGATTCCTACTTTTGTCTTCTCTTTTTTATTTTGTTTCTACGTTTTAATTTGTACTTTTATTCCTTGCTTTCAGTTTACAATACATTCTTGAAATATTTTATTTCAGGTGCTTTTAATTTTACAGGTACCAAAAGAATAATTTATACTATAGCCCTACTTTTTCTAACTAAAAAACTACTATTGTTTTTATTTATTTATTTTTTTTCTGGCAGATTTTTTTTATCACTTTAAAAAACGTTTTTTTTTTAATAGATTAGACCCTCTGTTTTAATTTTATTTTTTTATTTATTAAACGGCATATTTATTTTCGTCGACCGGTGTGAATATTCGAGAAATCTTATTAAAGAAAAATATGTACCCTCTTGCAAAGGAAATCGTCGTTAGGTCCTTCGAGGCTGAGTCGGTATAAGCACATCGGATCTAACAACGGTTTTTCCAGCATGGGGTGGGGGTGCAGCTTCGAAACGTTCCGAAGGGCACACATTTTTCTTAAATAAAACGCTCCGTAAACAAAAACGGAACGTCTACTCAAATATGGGTATCCACTAAAAAAAAAAATAACGTTTTTTTTTTTTTTACTGTTTAAAAAGTTATTAAAAATACATATTTATTTATTTTCCAAATCTGTTCAATGGGTATGTCAAACTGTATTTTACACTAATTTACCCAAATTCTTGTTTTTAGTCAATGTTTCGGTTATTGTACCATCTGATCTTTGTCAGTTGGAGACACGAGTAACTTGATTATAAGATCGACGGGTGCTTCTAGGTGGGGCTGGGGAACCTTCAGCCAACCCTCCCCCATACACACCTTTTGTTGGAACTGAGAACCGAACAGAATATATGACAATGCTACTAAGCTGATCTTCTTTTTTTAAATAATTATTACTACTGCCATTAATTTTCAAAATCAAACATCCTTTTCTTTCTTCGGAATATTATCCCTCTAAAAAATGTATAAAATCTCATAGAATTTAATTTTTTTTTTTTTTTTTTTTTAAGCATCTAAGTAAGTAATGCCCATCCTAAATAATTATTCTTTATTTTAAAAAAGAATCCAGGCAAGAGTTACACTAGTTAAACTTAATTTCTCAAAATAACAATGCTTTAATTTTGGTGTCTGGAAATCAGAACAAAAAAACACTAGATTTTTTTTTATTTCTAAAAAATGCTAGTAGTGACTTAGTTTATAACCTACTTTCCACTTTCGATATTTTAATCTTTTCACCCGATGAAAGGTAGATTATTTTGAAAAATTATATATATATATATTTTTTTTTTCTTTTTTTACACACACCAACCAAATAAAACCTGGTTTTTGACTTTGAATATTTTCGGCCAATTCAAAATGATTCACAGGGTAAAATCGAGGCATGCTTTTTTATTTTATTTTATGAAGTAACTTGTTTTAAATGAATAAATTAATTATATAAATAAATCTCTTCAAGTGTCCCAGATACTTTAACACCTGGGTCAAGGTAATTTTTTTATTAATATTTTAATTCAGTGAAATCAATGACAAGAATCCATTGCATTTTGTTTTCAAACAATAAATG